CTTTCATAACCCGGAGAAATTTCAAAGTGCGGGGAAGATGATAAGAATAGATTTCTACAAGTCCCGACCACGTGATTGGCGAAATAATTAATTCAGCACGTCCCTTAAGAAACACGGAGTCGTCATTAATCTGCCACGCAAAGGGCTCTCTCCGACTTGGAAAGTGCAGGGATCCCAAGAATATCACCCGCCCAAGGGAGCCCCCGCACGGCGCCCCGGGCCTCCACCCCGCCGGTGGAGGGCGAGGGAGCGCAGCCGGCAGGTAAATATTTTGGCGACTTTTATTTCTTCGGATTTAAATCCTTAATGAATTTAGCTGTCAGGGCCGCTGACGAATAGTTCCCTTCGCTTCCTGATTTGGAACTGGGCGCTGGTGAGAAGTTGCTAGTGGCTTGGATGGTGACCTTTGGTTCAGCAAAGCTTTGCACTTATGAAAAATTACTGAGTGCGGCCGAGTGTGTGTGCGTGTGTGTGTGTGTGTGACAGGGAGAGGGAGAGCGCGAGCGCGGGCGAGGGGACAGGGGTGAGGTGGTGCGCGGGCTGCTCGGAGACAAGAGTTGTAAAAACCCGCCCGGCTGGGGGACGCGCCTGGCGCGCGCGGGCCGAGGTTGCCCGGTCGCCTGTGTCTGCCGGGAACAATGGTCGCTGTCACGGCATCTGCCTCCTATTCTTAAACCGGTGAGAAAAGGCCCCAGCCCTCTTTTCAAGCGAGGGTCGTAAATTTTTCTTTGCGTCATAATAGGAGGCTATAAAATCGAGTTGAAATTTTACCCCAGGCAGGTTTTAACCAACAGATAATGATTTCCGAGTTGCTTCTCCCACTGCCCTCCCTCCCCACCCAGGCTCTGCTGCTTCTGTCATCCCAACAAGTTTTCCCTTCTTCCCCTTTATTTTTGTATTTATAATTTTTGGGGGGAAGATCTAAAATAAAGGCAGTGGGAAGAAGTCCTTGCCTCCGGAGTGAAGATCCTGGGGCCAGCAGATCCTGGGGGAAGGGATGTGCAGGAGAGGCCAGGGCAGATGCAAAGGCTGTATCTCCTGCTTGCTCCCACTTTAGGCTTTTTTCTTCCGCACTCCGAGGAGATTCAGGTCCCAGCCGCACTCTGCTCCCATCCCGCCCCAGCCTACCCCCAGCTTGCCGGAGACCTGGGCTGGGGGCAGTGGGCATTCTCTTCTAGCTCCAAAATCCTGCCAGGATGCCTGGGAGGACAGCCTCTTTATTTACCTCCTTCCCTCTTGTTGGCTTTGAGGATGATTTCCTCGAGTGGAGGCTGGCTTCCTTCGGTGGTTGTTTGGGGATTGTGTGTGTTTTGATTTCTTTTTTGGTGTGTGTATATTTCCCCGTCAGACAGAGACAAAGTTTCCTCCGTTATGAATTATACATTCAAACAATAACACATTAATTCAATTATTCAAAGATGACAAATGTTTATGTGCTTTGCAAGTGACTCCGGCACAGATTCCGGGTGCTTTCTCCGAGTTGCTCGCCTTTTTCTCAATGAGAATTGGCTCCCCTCCCACTCCCAACCCCACCCACTCTAACCCACCTCCACATCTCCTGGTGGGCCAGGAGAGGAACCCACAAAAAAAAAAAAAAAAAAAAAGCCTCCCTAGTCCCGCTGGCAGCCTGGCAGCCAACAGCCTCCCAAGGCCCCGGCTTGGCGGGCACCGGCCCGGGCTATTTTATCAGTGTGACAATTGCCCGGGTTGGTGTGATAAATCATCGTAAGTAATTCCTGAAAGGGTGCGAGGCTGTTGGGGGCCGGGCGAGGACTGTAAATCTTTCCGGTTTATTGCTCTATGAACATATGCTCCGATTGAAGAAGGCTTAGATCCTTTCCTGGAGACAAATTCCCGAAAAGGGGCCCCCCTCTTTGGCTGGAGATTAACACTTGCTGTGGCCCGTCTGCTAGCCCCTGGTGGGAGGCTAGGGCCGGGTTCCTCTGGGCAGGGGTGGAATGGGGCACCCATGGTCTGGCTCCAAGAGGTGTCCTGAGTGGGCCTCCAGCCAGGCCAGACCAGGTGAACAAAAGGAGGGGCCTGCTGACATGTCTGGGAGCTGGAGCCTCAACCTGCCCTCTGGGACTTTCCCAGGCCTCTGGAATGGGGATGTAGAGGACCTTACCCCCTTATTGCTGGCTCTTCTGGGGCTGCAGAGCACATTTGCCTTCGCCTGTCGGAGACCTTGCAAGCGGCAACCAGGCATCTACTCCGTGCCCATTGCCGCTGAGAAGCAGAGCTGGCCGTGAAAACGAAACTTCAAGGAAGGAGTGGAGACACCCCCATGGGGTGGGATTCCGTGGCGCAGGCCAGGCTGGGGGACAGCGAGGGGGCTCACCAGAAGCCAGGAGCTGGAGGCCCGCCGCAAGCCCTGGGGCTGGTGGTCAGGGAGCTTAACTCTTCTGACCACATGCAAAATTGTTACCATAAATTTCACCCAACTACTGGAAGAGTGCTGGGAACCTGCTCTGATTTAATATTTCTAAATATAAGTGCCCTCCTCTCCCAGATAAACCAGGCCCGCACCTTCTTGGAGGCACCGCAGGAAGCGGGAAGGCACAGCCTGAGAGTCTCTGGGCCTGCAGGATCCGTGGGCCCTGCCAGATCTGGAGGTGCACAGGTCACCGTAAAAGGCAGCTCGGCCCCTGGCCCACTTGGGCCCGAGCAGGACCCGGGTGGAGTGAGCAAGGTGCAGTGGGGAAACTGCTCCGGATCCTGGCAGGCTGTGTTTGCGCCTGTTCTGGTTCTCAGAAGCCGCAGCTTGTCTGCCGCGTCTTCAGGCTGAGCCAAGGCTCCAGCGAGTGAGTAGCGGTGTAGTGGTTGTGGTGAGGTGACGGACTGGTCTGTGAGCTGCAGGCTCCTACCTAAGGCCTGACCCTGCGCTGTCTCAATGTAATTGCCTCCCCAGGGGAAAGGGGAGAGTGGTGGGTCGGCCTAGGCGGGTGCATGAGGATGCAGGGAACTGGGCGCAGACCAGACTGGGAGCCAAGGGAACCCTGAGCATCTAATGCTCCACAGCCGCTTGTGGAAAAGACTCTATGACAGGACTCTAAAATTTCCATCCAGGGACCATTCTGCTGAAAGGCCAGGCCAGTGTTAGAGGTCGTAGGAGGAGAGACTCCCAGCCACTGTCAGAGGTCAGGCTGGGACTAGGTCTCTCTGAAGCAGGAGATGGGTGGGGGCTTTCCTTCATACCCGAACCCACCCAGGTCTGTCCCAGGGAAGGGGCCCGAGCCCCAGTCCCATGCCCCCTGCCCCTCCTCCCAGCCCCCAGGCCTGGCTGCACTCTGGGGCTGGATGGTGTGAAAGTTTCAGCCTCAATCAGTACAATCTTCTCTGGGGTCACGTGAACAAATATGCTTGCATTTGAAGGCAGAGTCTGTATTTGAGGACTATGAGGGGGTTTCTGGGGCTCTTTCCAAATCCAGAAAGGACGATATTCTGAAAGCAAAACATACCCTGAGCTCTGGGGAGCCTGGGAGGGCTGGGCAGGAACCCAGGAGTGGGTGGGGGCGCGGGTAGCCACTGATCTGGGCCTGGGAGCGGACAGGCGGGCGGGTGGACCGACGGGCACGCAGTGCAAGCAAAGCCAGCTCGGGGACTAAGAACTCGTTCCTCCTGCGTTTATTGGTAGTTGAACCTCAG